CTACATGACACATACTTTCTGCACTTAGAAGTTAGCCATTTAAGCTGCACGTCAGCCAAACCCTTTTATGAATGTTCCACATTGTTACCGCAATGTATGCTGACATCACTGCAGCACTGACGCCTCATTGGGTCAGCTGTCACCAATGACCCATAGCACATAGAGTTTTATAACTGTTGTGAATTTTCTCCCCTTTTATAACCCGCCTGGAAGCGGAAAATAAGTGATGCCACCAGTAAATAAAATTAAAAAGGGGTTCCCACGAGAGGAAAAAAGCAGCCGTCACAGCTTGATCAAGGTCCTGTCAGAAAAACGTAAGGGTGTCGCCATGTTACTGTTAGGTCTATAGAGCTTTACTCTATTTTATGCACTTTGAGGTTGTCTGATACTGGCTTGTACCTTTTAGAAAGAACTAGAGAAACATTGTATGTTCACATCCCTAAACAAATCCTTTTTTTTCCAGGATGTCCAGTTATCTGCATGAAAGACCATTTTACATCAGAATCAGACTTTATTTATGTTTTTATATCGTTAATACATAAGGACAAAGGGACAAACCTATACATGCACATAAAGGAACAGAATAACAATACTACTAGCCAAAAACCAGTTGCGGGCCGTGCATTTTATACCTGGGCTTTCACTGCTGTCCTGCAGCTGAAACACAGCTACGGTTATTATTTGTTTCGTGTAAAAATGAAGCCAACACCTATAAATACACTAACTGCAGAGAATACGCCGAGAGTGTGTCTCTCTTCTCTGACTGCAGCTGGGACTGCTGCGCAAGGCTGCTGTGAGACTGACCGCCTGTGAGTGCTTTGGGGCGGCTCACGGCAGCACCCGCTGCTCATTCACGACAGTGCAGAACGGTACGTGCTTTCACGTCAGAGTCAAAACACCAGAAAAGTCTCCAACAACACCAGAAAAAGTCGCTGGATTTGTCGCTAGTAGCTTTTGACAAAAAAAGTCGCCAAGTTGGCAACACTGGCACTTACTAAATGTGTCCCCAGCGTAACAATACGTAACAATAGTTCCTATCACATATAAAACCAAACAAAAATCCATCTTCATAAAAACAAGTTGTACAAATAATAATATAACAAGCATATTAAAGCTACTGCAGATGTAAAAACAAAAGCAGTTAACTTACAAAGCTGCTGTTCACTATTTAAAGACTGAAAGTCCCCTTTATTGGGCACTAGAGGGGGGGCGACAGAGTACACACGTGTGTACAATTCACTTTTGCAAAACGAATAAAATGATATTTTATGACATATCATATACCTATGTAACAAAGAGATTCTGGGCGAAACAACCATGGGAGCCATTTTACACACTGCAAAACACAATTATACACAAACTAATATCATATCTACAAGATATCTAGAAGATTTGCCACAATTACACGTTTTTTTCGGCAAAAATCTACTAAATGTACTGTGCTCTCCGTTTGGATCTCCCATCACAAAGCTGGGAGCGATCATGGCGGATTTACACATGCAGTAGGGTCGTGATTCGACCCCTCGTCGAATGCCGCTGTTCAAATTCCTCTGCTTCAAACCGTTCAAAAGTTACATAAACAAAGCCAACAAACACCTGTACCACTCCACAGAAAAAAAATTGAAACTCAGTGTACCTTTTGGTGATTTTCATGCCGAAAAACGCAGCTAATCTATTGAAATCCGGGTCAGAACTATATACCCTCTCTTCCGCTGTGTGTGTGTGAAGTGAAATGCAGGGCCTGGGAGGTTCTGGGACGAAATGGTCATCATTCCCCTCCTGGACCAATGGTTTTACCCGTGGGGGTTGTGCCAAGCAGATATAGATTTTGAGTGGCTAACAACTTTGTCAATCTTCTAAATAACCCACATACTGCTTTCTTGAGTGTCTTCCGCATTCAACAACGTGTCACATGATAAAATCCGCCAATCACAGGCCTTACAAAGGCTTAAAGAGACACAGACAAAGAGGACAATATTTCATGGAGGCATTTCATATTTCATATGACAGCTCAAAATGGCCCAAAATGATGTCAAACTGCATTATTAGGATTACTGAACACTCTTAGTGATAAGACAAGTGAATATATAGTTAATATATAGTTATATAGTATATAAAATTAGAATACAGCAGCGCAACAGCTGGTTCCAAAAATGAGAATTTTGCTTGACTCGGACCTCATTTATGCTGGCCTGCTTCACTCAATCGAAGTAAAATCTGTTGTGGAGACATGTAAAACATGTTGTGCTATGACTGTGGCATATTTCTAGGCTTCGATCTGCATTATTTCAAATAAATATTTTCAATACAAGTGCTTTTTTTTCAGGCGAACCTGAAACTTTTTCAATTTGAGCTGTGCCATATGTGTATATGTTATTAACCAGTAACATATATACAATATTTACACATCTCAACACATCTCACAAGTGTCACCTGTATTCTAGCATCACAATTATTAAAATAGACCTTGTAGTTAGAGCTGTGGACTCTCTTGAGTATGGGTATGTAATTTTTGAGCAGAGGCCTAAAAATAGGGCTAGGGTTTAAGAGGTTTTAAAGACAAAGTCCATCCTCCTTTCTTTGTTAACAAAGAGTTTAATCTCACGTTTGTTCAGTACATCCGTGCATTTTAGTTCCAGTAAGAAGTCCTTCTCGATTCATGGACGCCAGTGAAGACAGTCGAGCCTCCCCCAGTTGTATTTCGTGAATACGTTTTAATGCGTTTGAGGGCTGAAAATGTCCACTCGGCAGAGGCAGCAGATATTGGCATTGTTACCGCCCAACATGTCAGGCTAGCCCACTGACCAATCACGTATGGCTAGGCCAGCTAGAAGGCTCTGACATGTCAAAGAATACGGCCAACATGTCAAACTAAACATCTAATTGGTTGAAGACTATGACAATCACCAATATCGTCCCCATTCACTTAAACTGCAAAGGGATTAACTTGTGAGTCTGCAGGCCTCGGGCCTCTCTTCTTACCTAGAGACACAGAGGTGAAATCTGATTGGATAAAAGCTCTACTTAAAACAAGTTGCACTGGAAGCAGAGCAACAGAGGAAGACAGGAGCTGTACAATGAGAAAATGAGATAATGGGAAGAAAAATTATAATACATGTAGTGTATTTATGAAAAATGCAGAAGTGCCAAAAACTGCAGTTCTTCGAATGACTGCTTGAGGCTGGCTCAAAAAGCGAGTCAATCCTCAAAGAGCTTAAGATGCCCAACTTCACAGCAGAAACAAACATGTTTACAGCCTGGTGCAAAAAGTGCTTTTGGTCTCATAGCTAAGTTCCCCGTTCATGATAACTGTGCGGGGGGCAGATCTGCTGTGTCACCTGGCTCGCTTCAGTTCCACCAACAATCCACTTTATTGCCCATTTTTTGACTAGCTAGGAGGTATACGCAGAATTCATCGCGCCGCAGGTCAAAACGCCGGGGACCAGTGTTCATTCGCGTGAATCGCGCCGGAGAGGGGGCGCGGCTTATCGCCCTGAAAGCCGTTCAACTGTCCGCCATTAACCATGAAAAAAAATAACCTCTATTTCTGCTTAGTACGTGTTGTGGAAGTCCCAGATATCCCGGGAAACTAAACGCCGTCATGTCTGGTTCATAATATTGTCCAGGGGAGCTCCATGGATTTTATCGAGCTGTATTCACTGTGTCTAGCAAGCCACACAAGTCGCTGTTTACTACAGCTGTATGAACACAAAATAAACTGATTTGGCTGTGATTTAACGGCAATAAGCCGACAAAAAGGGACTCCGAAATAACTACGTAATGATGCCGATTTGTACTTCTCAATGGAGCTCGGACGGATCGGTGCTAGGCTATGCTAACATTGTAGCAGCTCCACCAACAGTCAGAATAACGTCATGTAGATGTAGATACGGCAGCATTGTTTGTACCATATGGTTTTGACACACACATTTATACACATAGTTTGGTCCGGTCTCTATTGATATGAGGTATCTTAGAGCTCTGGGTGAACACAGACGGCTACAGTATTTATTTCCTGATTCAACAACGGCAGGACATCACTGATGACAGGGGGAGCAACTCAACGCTGATAGGCTATCACGCCGGGGCGCAACGTGAATATTTCGCAGAAGTTGAAAAATTTTAATTTGCGTCAATCGCGCCGCAAATTTGTGTCAATCGTGCCACGCCATCGCAAATTCGCTCCGCGCCAGTCTCATCGCGTCTGTGCATAGACTTTGTATGTAAGACTTTGTATGTACTTTTTATTTTTTTAACTTTTTTTAATCTACTCGCGCAAATAATTCGCGCCGCGTTTGGTGTGAACGCAGCATTAGGCTGTGTCGTCACTGCCAAGATGGCGAGGGCTGGGGGCCACCCACTTTGAGCTTCACAGCGGCTCTTCAGAAAGGCTATGGGTGATGTCACAGAGACTACGTCCATATTTTATACACGTATCATCACAACCAGTTAAAATGTTTCAACTTGAGCAGCAATTCCTGCTTATTTCAGGCAGGAATTGTATGTATGCACTTCATGAATATACAAACAAGAGAGTTTTAGCTAGGAGCCTACTTTGTTGATGATAGTATTCTTTCTAGTTGTCCTATGAACATACTGTACATCAGCTGGATAAATACTGGGGCTGAGACCACTGTTTGGAGACTGGATAGCCTCTGTTATAATACCAGTTGGAGCATCACTTCAGTTAACTGAAGTAGTGAAATGATGATTCCTGAGATTCAGAGTAACTTAGATTTTGCATACAGAACATGACACAGAACATCCACATCATCAGTGGAAGATGGAGGACTGATCCAGCAGATGTTTAGTGGATGTTTCTGCTTGTTTGGTAGCGGTTTACTTTAATGACCGTAATCAAGTAACCTTGTCCACGCCTATGGTATGGTCTGAGGTTTACATTGCTGTGTAATTGTAATTGTTCAAACACTTCAGGGAGTTGAAGTGTCATTTTCTTCTAACTTGTCACTAATCAATAGAAGCTTCTCTTCTCTGTGCAGCCTCCAAACAATGGCCCTCCTCCTCTGCCCAGCTCCTCTCTACCGGAGGGCTACTATGAGGAAGCAGTTCCTTTAAGTCCTGGAAAGGCTCCTGAATACATCACTGCCAGTGAGTGGATCATTTACAATGTACATCACTGATATAATGCACTTAATCATCACCATACATAAAGAAAGTAGTTAATGGACACAATACTGAAAATGAACAGTGAATTTATCTTTTTTTCTGGTTTTATGTTTACTTAACCAATAGCCTTCTGCACCTCTCTCTCAGACTATGATTCAGACGCCATGAGCAGCTCCTATGAGTCGTACGACGAGGAAGAGGAGGATGGGAAGGGCCAGAAGATGCGTCACCAGTGGCCATCTGCAGAGGCATCCATGGACCTGGTGAAGGATGCACGGATCTGTGCATTCCTGCTGCGCAAGAAGCGCTTTGGCCAGTGGACCAAACTCCTCTGTGTCATCAAAGATAACAAACTGCTGGTGAGGGACACTTCCATGTACATGTACATGCTAGCACAATAAGGCACACTTTACAGGGTTCCCAGTGAAGATCTATGGACATACATGATTACATAAAAGTTCTTAGCCCTCGTCCCTTTTTTCTCTCTCCAGTGTTACAAGTCATCCAAAGACCACACACCCCAGATGGAGCTGACCCTGACAGGGTGCAGCATCACTCACATACCCAAAGACGGCAAGAAGAAGAAGCACGAACTGAAGATTGTCCACCAGGGAGCAGATGCCCTTGTGCTGGCTGTGCATAGCAAAGAACAGGCCGAGGAGTGGCTTAAGGTAACGGAATGAACCCCAAAACCACTGTTAAATGTTTTACACTTCTCCTACCAGTTTATGCTTGAAAAGAAAATCTGCCACCTTCTATGTGGATATCCAGTGCTGATTGCGAATGCAGTGGCGGGCCGTGCATTTTATACCTGGGCCTTCCTTCTGCAGTTGAACCACCTCCTAATAACCTCATTATGACGCCACAGCTACGGTTATTATTTGTTTCTAGGGGTGTAACAATACACGTATTCGTATTAAACCGTTCGGTACGAGGCTTACAAACCGAACAATACGTTTGAATAATACTAGTGCATTTGGAAAATGCAGAAGCTTAAATTGTGGGAAATATAATGCTTTCGGTGGACTACGCTCAAACTGGCAACCCATCACGTAAGAGACACTGACCCCGGAACCATAACATTGTACCCTGGTGTGGCGCATGTGTTCTGGGAGGCGCGCTAAACTAGCTTAGCAGGAAAACCAACAGCAGCATACAAGCTACACTCTCCCCGCAGCATTTAGCTGTTCTCTACTGATTCAAACAGGGCTAAAGCAATTGCCACACAATCGCCATTTCTCCAGACCATCATTCTTGCTTTGTAAAAGAAAACAAAAGCCCAAACAGAGAATCAAGTGTCTGACCCTAATCTCGCGCATGACGGGATGCTTAGTCATTAACGGACAATGCATATAGTCAAAATCAATGTAATTAACACAATGACAAGAACAAACTCACAAGAACCAGTCACATATATTTACAACAAAGCATGACAAATCAATCCAGCAAATCTGCAAAGCTAAAACACGCATTCCACCACACACTGAAGAGCACGGGCCATTCAAATATTATTCAAATCGGAGGGAACAATATTAACCACATCATAAAAACGACATCATAGACAAATTAACACAGTAGTAATGCTACTGCAGATGTAAAAACACAAGAGCAGTTCACTTACCAAAGCTGCTGTTCACTTAAAGACAAAGTCCATCCTCCTTTCTTTGTTACTGAAGAGTTTAATGACACGGTTGTACAGAACTTCGGTTCAGTTCAGTTCCAGTCAGAAGTCCTCCTGCGAACGTGTTTGTTTGTAGATCGACTCGGATCTCTCCAAAAGTTTCCAAAAGCACCGTAGCTTGTAAGTGTCCTGTTGTGCTATGGTGTCGTGTTGCTGCCTTGGTTAGCCACCTCAGGTTAGCGTAGCGTAGCTCCAAACACCAAGACGCTCAGTTGCAAATGAAACGCATTCTTAGCCATAACATGTGCAACGCTTCTCCGACGCTGTCAGCCGTTCATACAAATCCTTTTCCATGCTGGGTCAGGGCTGCTAGCTGTGGGGTTTGCCGACCCTTTGATACGATGTCCAGCTTTTCTGGAAATGTCCTTCTTGAGAAATCCGTTTCTCCTCCTTCAGCCATTGAGTGTTAAAAAAACATTGCTGAGCCAGCCGCACATTAATGCTGACGTACTTGTAGGCTACTGAGGTAGCTCTGGCACGTCAAAGAATACGCCCAATATGTCAAACTAAAGATCTGATTGGTTCAAGACTGACAATCAACAATATCGTCCCCATTCACTTTAATCTGCAAAGTCTACCTAGAGGGCCTCGGGTCTCTCTTCTTACCTAGAGACACAGAGGTGAAATCTGATTGTATAAAAGCTCTACTTAAAACAAGCTGCACTGGAAACAGCGCTGCAGGCTGGAAGCAGAGCAACTGAGGAAGACAGTAGCTGTGCAATGAGAAAATAAGCTAATGGGGAAAAATATTAGAATACATGTCGTGTATATGTGAAAAATTATAAAATAGCTATAATTTTGTGATTCTGTTTAGGCCAGCAGAGAAGGCTTTGCTGGCCCTGACGGCCCACCACTGGGTAAATGTAGTCCACTGAAGAAATATCTTCCCCAGTGTTATATTGACAGAGAAAGCTGTGCACAAACTGCAAGTTTGCTACTTCTGATATACTGTATAAACAAAATAAACGGCCTCACTCAGCATAAAAATGGCTGAATATCCGAGTCAGCCAAAACACTGTAAAATGTGCACTGTAAAATGTAGACTGTGAAAAACCATGTCCATAACATCTTCTGCTTTCATATTTATGGAGGCCTTTTTTGCTGTTGGAAACGTAACGCAAGCTCAGAGAAAAGGGACGTTTTTGAGCCACATTGCGCCCCACAGCTACCAAAGCTGAAATAGCACTCTGTAGTTCTTCAATATACCAAATACGACTCTATCGCCTCACAAAAGAACGATTGTACAGCTGCGCCCCAGAGAAACAGAACGTCAGTAACAACTGCAGGCGTTTTTGACACTATTTACTGTACCTCACTCAGATAAGAGATAAGGTTGAACATCTTCCCTTAAATGGAGAAAAAGAATAGTCTGAACAGAGAAGTGGTTCCATGCTGCTAAATAGAACAGTGCTCAAGTAACTGAGCCAGAAGTTTTTTTCTTAAACATTGAAACAGCAGTTAACAAAAGATGACTAAGATGTGCAACAAACGATTTCAAGTATCACCACCCTCCATGGTTAATGGTTCGTAATGCTTCATTTCATAAATATAGTCAATCACATGACATAACAATCTGCACTCAAGGTTCACCACTTGTTCTGGATCTTTTAGCCATATCACTTGGTCTTCATCAGCAGTGAAGCTCAACTTTTAAGCCAACATAAAAGAGACGAAATCGCTTTACAGTTTTGTGACTTAACAAACTTCATTGCTGATGAAGACCATGTGATTGTGGTCAAAGCTCCAGGACAAACGACTAATTGGCCTTTGAGTGGAGTTCTCAAATTAGTTAAGTTTATATTATATTTTATTAAGTTAAACATTAAGACCTATTTTACCATATAAAGTGGTGTTAACAGAAGCTGGTAAGATTTTTGGACGATTTAATTATATCTAATCATTTCTAAACAGCTAAATAGCTCTGTGGTAATATTGAAATTAATTCTTCGTTCTAATTGGTTGAATCTTGTTCGGTGCGATTGGAAAACACTAGAAGAATAGACAACTTTGACTGCATTACAGTTTATTTAGGTTATTCAAAAGTCACTAATTTAACCGTAGTGGTTGTTCTACCAGTCAAAACTTTGTAATATTTCATTATTTTTTTTAAACATCTTTTTTGACCAAAACAGCCTTTTTAAAGAATGATGTCACCAGTGGATATGATTGTTGAACAGTGAAGAGACCTAAAACCTTGTGAGCTGTTATAACTTGACCCACAGCCTCATGTGGCTGATTGCATAAAGTAGAGAGCTTTCTACGGTACAACAGTGTCAGTGGTACTCACCACAGATCATTGTAGCAGAGTTCAGACTGGGCTGAAGTTCTTGGGATCGGCCTGAAGGTTTCATTTGGGATGTTGTTGCCAGGGAGGTAAAATTAGATGCGCTGTAACTTTCATTTAGCTGCTAGTATTAGGAGTAAAGGGTGTAGCTTTCAGTGTGAGAATAGCTTGGCTTTTGTTCTTCAGGATGGACCTTTTCCTGATGTTGTCTGACTACATGGTTTGTTCTGAACAGGTGGTTCTGCTGGTTGTTTGGTTTGTAG